AGGTGGGTGGAGTGGTCCTTCCTCAAGTGAAGGAGTTCAAGTATCTCGGGATCTTGTTCACGAGTGAGGGAAGGATGGAGCGTGAGATTGACAGGCGGATCGGTGCAGCGTCTGCAGTGATGTTGTATCGACCGCATCACTAGGACGAGATTGTGGATACAAGCGATCTAAATGAGCTTCCTCCGCAGAGTGGGTGGGCGCTCCCTTAGGGATAGGGTGTGGAATTCAGTCACACGGGAGGAGCTCGGAGTGGAGCCGCTGGTTGAGAGGAACCAGTTGAGGTGGCTCGGTCATCTGTTCCAGATGCCTCCTGGGCACCTCCGTAGGGAGGCTTTCCGGGCACCTGGAGGAGGCCCCGGGGAAGACCCAGAACACACTGGAGGGACTATGTCTCTCAGCTGGCCTAGGAACGCCTTTGGGTCCTCCCGGTTGAGCTGGAGAAGGTGTGTGTGGATGTCTGGGTGTCTCACATACACGTGACATTACTAACCAACTTATGTTAGTAAGGCACAGGCTTCACATCAGTGTCCTCCAAGGCCTCGTCCAGATGGAGGCCATTTCAGTATAATCATAAAGTATTTAGTTGAATTTGTTTTTATGTATAACATTTCTTTATGCTTAATATATACTTATATCACTATTAATCCAATCCAGCCCGGTAGGGCTATTACATTTACTGTATAATGTTGTTATATTTTAAGTACCTTACTTTGTGCCCACGTTAGGTACTTTTGTTATTATGATAACACAAAATTATAACTGTATTTTTACATACACTCACCAGCCACTTTATTAGGTACTGTTTAACTTTAATGCAAATTCCTTATCAACCAATCACATGGCAGCAACTCAATGCATTTAGGGATGTAGATATGGTCAAGACAATCTGCAGTTCAAACCGAGCATCAGAATGAGGAAGAAAGGTGATTTATTAGACTTTGAACCTGGCATGGTTGTTGGAACCAGACGGGCTGGTCTGTGTTTTTCAGGAACTTCTGATCTACTGAGATTTGCACACACAAGCATCTCTAGGGTTTACAGAGAATGGTACAAAAAAGAGAAATTATCCAGTGAACGGCAGTTCGGTGGGCAAAAATGTCTTGTTGATGCCAGAGGTCAGAGGTGAATGGACTCCAGACTGGTTTTAGCTGATAGAAAGGCAACAGTAACTCAAATAACCACTTGTTACAACAAAGGTATGCAAGAGAGCCTTTCTGAACACAGAACACATCAAACCTTGAGGCAGATGGGCTACAGCAGCAGAAGACCACACTGGGTGCTACTTTTGTCAGCTAACAACAGGAAACTGAGGCTACAATTCGCAAGCATGGGCTCTAAAATGGCCCACAGCTATGCATAACTCTTTGTGGGCTACTTCGAACATGAGATGGTCTTCAACGAAAGTCGCAACCCTCACCTAGGAAACATCCATCACTGGCGTCGGTACATCGATGACATCTTTTTTCTCTGGAAAGGAACTGAATTTGAACTTAAAGAATTTCACAGACTTATCAATACAAATGAGTGCCAATTGAAATTTACTATGGAGTACAGTATTGAAAAGATGAACTTCCTTGACATTTTAGTATACAGAGATGCCGATAAACTGACATCAAATCTCTACAGAAAAAGCACTGACAGAAATTCTATTTTACATGGAAAGTCATTCCATCCAGTACCATTAAAAAAGAGTTTGCCCATTTCACAGTTTAATCGCATCAGACGCATTTGCAGCACAGACTCAGACTATCAACATCAAGCCACAGAAATGGAGAAACGTTTCAGACAAAGACAATACAGAGAGGACTGGATTGCAACTGCACGCAGCAGATTTGATGGCATTTCACAAGAACAATGTTTGGAGAATAAAAAGACTAATAAATCATTGCCACAAATCAATTGCATTATACAGTGCTCACCTTTAAGCAAAGACATGGAACGTATTATAAAAAACATTGGCACTTTATACAAACCGATCCAAATCTGAAGAGATTGTCTGGACCTCCACGCATTGTTCTCAAGAGACCACCGAATTTAAAGAATATGCTGGTCAGAGCCGACCCACCATCCCTTTCTCAGCCCCACTTTCTACAGGATATCCCACATGGTAATTACAGGTGTGGACATTCCAGTCAATGCAACTTCACTCAAATAACCAAAACGTTCAACCATCTGAGAACTGGAAAGACATTCAAAGTGAATGGTATAATCAGTTGCAATACCAGAAACGTCATTTACATGTTAAAATGCCCATGTGGACTTGCATATATTGGGAAAACCACGAGAGAGTTAAAAACCAGGATTGCTGAACATCGATCAATCCGCAACAACAATCCAAAGAGTCCGGTGGCTTTGCATTTCACTCAATTACAGCATACTATGAGTTCTCTGAGATACCTGGGCATTGAACAAATAAAAACACCAAGAAGAGGTGGAGACATAGATGCTTTACTACTGAGAAGAGAAGCGTTTTGGATTTTTACCCTTGAGACTTTGAGACCTAAATGTTTGAATGAGGATTTCGATCTAAGACCTTTTCTCTGACTACATCTCGCAGCTATCAGCACTCCAGAGATATTACAAAAACAATGCATCAACTATTCCAGCTGTGCTGCTGTCAATGTCCTGGTCTTGCTCTATATTCTTTTGAGACTGTTTGAGACTTTGAGACTATCTTACATGTTCCATCCATATAGCTTTTACCACACACCAATTCAGTGAAACACTCAAGACACACATATTTTGTACTTTATGACAGGCTGCCCCCTTTTTATCCACTTATGGTGGATGTATGCATGTGTATATTTATATACATGCATATTTTTGTAAATGTGTTTGTGTATGGGTGTATACCTACGTGTGCATGTACAGTATGTACATATTTTGCATATTTTTTCATGTATTGTATATCTTCTGTGTATTTAGGACCAGTCAAGTGACAGTCCTTGCTCACGTGACTGAATCTTTAAAATTGCTACCAGGTGTGTCTGGATTTTATGTCTGACGAAGGGCCTCAGCCCGAAACGTAACATTTTTGGTGTGTAAATAAAATACACTGATTGGGAGCTACATAGCTGTGCGGATTTTTTTCACTGTTTTTACATTTCGCATAGGCTCAACAGAATTGGACAATAGAAGATTGGAAAAAGTTGCCTGGTTTGATGAGTCTCGATTTCTGCTGCGACACTCGAATGGTAGGGTTAGAATTTGGAGTCAACAACATGAGAGCACGGATCCATCCTGCCTTGTATCAACGGTTCAGGCTGGTGGTGGGGGTGTAATGGTGTGGGGGATATTTTCTTGGCACTCTTTGAGTCCCTTAGTACCAATTGAGCGTCGTTGCCAAGCCACAGACCACCTGAGTATTGTTGCTGACCATGTCCATCACTTAATGACCACAGTGTACTCATCTTCTGGTGGCTACTTACAGCAGGATAAAACACCTTGTCATAAAGCTCAAATCATCACAGACTGGTTTCTTGAACATGACAATAATGTCCCTGTACTGTAATGGCCTCCACAGTCACCAGATCTCAATCCAATAGAGCACCTTTGGGATGTGGTGGAACAGGAGATTCGCATTCTGGATTTGCAGCCAAAAAATCGGCAGAAACTAATCAAATATGGACCAAACTCTCTAAGGAATGTGTCCAGTACTTTGTTGAATCGATGCCACGAAGGATTGGGACAGTTTTGAAGGCAAAAGAGGGTCCAACCCGATACTAGCAAGATGTACCTAATAAAGTGGCTGGTGAGTATATATTCTCTCAAAAGTTTGGTTCTATCACTATTTTTTACATGCATGTAATTTTGGCCTCAGTGAGATCTTGTCAACTGAAAAAGAGATAACAATCCCAGTATCAGCATGTATGTAAAAGATTAAATGGTTTCTATTAAAATTTGTAATCTTAATCTTTGTAATCTGCTCTACCAACCGACAGTAGCTCAGTTGGTAGAGCATTGGCCTTAAGGCCAGAAGGTCGTGGGTTCAATTCCCACCTCTGCACCTTTTCCATCGACTCCCACTGATGACTGCTGTCGTTGTGTCCTTGGGCAAGACACTTAACCTCACTTTGCCCAAAAGCCCCCACTGAAAGATCAAGGCTATGCTCACACTCAGAGAGCAGCCGTCCTCCTGTGGACTCACCACCTGCAGAGGGTCAGTGAGGGGCTGGTGCTATGAGACTTGGGTGGCATCTCTGACTGCCACCCCCCTGACCCAGAAATGGATTAAAGGGTAGAAAATGGATGGATGGATGGATGGATCTTAAAATATGCTGTTTTTAAAACGGCATGTTGTGGTCTGAAACTGTTATTTAAAGATTATTTCTGTTTGGATATATTTATGAAACAATAAAGTTTTCTGATTTGGAAACCCCTAGTCGCACACAATGAGACTGTTACTGTGCATTGATTGTATGAGATGGATGTATGATTTTAGAGGTACATGTATCTTGTATGTTTGTATCTAGTGAAAACAGATAGTCAAGATAAGACTTACGTTCGGACAAGATTACAAAAAAAGGGGTTTATTCCCTCTTCCCACCCCTACTAGCATAAAAGCATATGTTAGAAAAACAATAAGTATATTAGTATTATGTGGATTAAAACATACATAAATATTTTAAAAAGATAATTATAACATAAAATACATGTTAAGACATCATGGTTAATATAGTTTAAAAACACTTCTTTGGCTTTAAAGTAAAAATAGAATAATGTAAGGCACAGCTGTCTGGTGAAAGAACCATATTTTTAAGAAAAAGAGAAGTGAATAGAAGAAGTAGGAGTGTCTATACTACTATTCAGTAATATGCATAAGTTACAGTGTATGACCACCCAGTGTTGTAAATACAACCAAAACAAAAATGCTGACAATACTTTGAAGGTCTGTGATTGTCTCCCTTTATACCATAAGTCCATGTGAGTCCTTTGGGGAGGAAGGCAATTGTCTTTATGCAAACATATTTCACCAACCAGGACTTGAAAACCAGTCTCCATTAGAGCTCATCTCCCTCTGCTGAGCTGAAGCTGCTCCTCCTGCTGCTATCTTTGGACGCTGCATCTGGTGACGCAGCCGAGAGCAGGGGGTCTGTGCCGAAGGGGGAAATAGGGTCTTCCATCAGGAGCTCGTCCAGCCTGTGCTCCTCCTTTAGCGACGCATTGAAGAAGTCTGTGAAGTGGGACAGCGGGTCGGAGAAGGTGCTGCAGCCGTCTGCGTGGGGCATGTGGTCCTGGGGAGCTCCGGGGTTGGCGAGCAGGGTCGGCACTGTGGCCCCAACCGCTATCCTCTGGAGGTAGTCCACGTTGGGGTCTTCTTGGTAGAGGGGCGGCTGCGGTAGGCCCTGTGGGGAGAGCTGCTGCTGCTGCTGTTTGAGGAGATGTGACGGCAGCTCCACAGAGCCCAGAGGCGCGGCCATGTTGGGTAAGCCATGAGCCCGGGCCTGGATTTCAAGTTCCTGGAAAGGAGAAGATCGAAACATTTAGGATTTTTAGCTCATTATTATGTACTGGGATATAAGTCTGGTTTCTTTGAGGGGACAAAAGTATCTTAAATTTACTTCTGAAACCATTGAAATTTCCTCACTGTGGGATGAATAAAGTTTCTCTTATCTCAGACAAATTTTGTGATTTACTATTGGGACTGTCACTGTCATAACACAACTTATCACACTACTTAACACTACTTTTCATATGCTTATTAATTATTAACAAGCATATAAGCCAAAAACATTTTTGAACAAATGGTATTATTATATAAAAATTACATAAAATCTTCCCATAAACTTCCTAAAACTTTTTTCTGGATAATATTGTTTTTAAAAACTAACTGTCTAAATTGTCTAAATTAACTCTAATTTTTTTTTCATCACTAGTTTCGCATATAGGTTTTTTTGCCCTCTGTTCCAACATTAAATCTGCTTTTTAGGCAGAAATTGAAAAGGAGAGGACCTCTACTCAGCCAATACCAATTGCACAGGACTATGCCTGTTGAGTTGTATTATCGATTTAAGAAAGTTGAAAGATTTTTGAGTGTAAAATTTGTGAATGAAAACAACTATTGTGACGTTTTGGAAGTTACCGTCTTGAATAATCATACTACTTGACCTTTACAGTACTCTTTTAAGTGTGACTAATGCTCCTACCAAGTGTTGCAATTATAAATCTTGCCTGTAAAACATTGTGCTCCAGTGTGAAGGCATGTGTCATTAAGCTGTGTAACTTCCCCTATTAGCGCTCATCACTGGCCCTCTGACCCCAGTGGGTGGGGGCCGGCAGGCACACTTTTAAACATTCAACAGTTAATTAGCACTGGGAGAGGAAGGTGTATGCGTGTGTCTGTGTGTGTGTGCGTGTGTGTGGATGGGGTATGTCATGTAAACAGCAGCAGGGGGGTTCAGGAGTCGTAAAAGGAGGTGGAAATTTGTTTACGTTGCCAGGTCGTAAAGCTCTAGAGGTGGAAATTAGCGTGTGGAAGAAGCCCCAGGAATGAGGAGAGTGTTGTCTGGAGTGTGTTGCTATATACAGGCTCATCAATCAAATGAGATATATGTGTTGGGCACACATGGTTTTATTAACTCAGCAAGGGGTATTGTGATCGCCACTGTGTGTATGTTTGTCGGTAGGAACAGAACTAATGGATGGATTGAGCTAAAATTGTGCAGATAGAATGTGAAGGATGTACATACATTTCAAGGCCTTGGTGGGTCATGCGCTCCAGTGGCAACAGTTTTATGTAGTTTGTGTAATTTCCAAACACAACAATGTAAGCCACAGAATCCATACGAACAAGATGTGATAACAAAGCTCCTCATTGAAATGTATGTAGTTCAATAAACTTTTTCACCTCACCCACATGTCAGCAACAGCCGAAAAAAGAGATTAGTTTTATTGCTGTCTGAATTACTGCTATACTTTGTCAGTATTCACACTGGACATGCCGGAACAAAAGGACTAGCTCGTAAGGTGGGTTGCTGAGTTGAGAGGGAGCGCAGTGTCTGCTTTAGTAGAAGTCGTAATTTATTTGATAAACGACAAAAAAATCGTTCCAACCCCATTTACTCATACAACAAATGACTTGTTCTTGTTGAATGGAATCATGTTTGAATGTTTTTAACGCAAGCATATAGTTTATCAAGAGTAAAACGTTATAATAGTTAAGAGGACATTATTATATGATTGATTGGCTGATTACCGGTCTGATATTTTCCCATCTCGGACCGTTACCATGACAATTGGTCCAAACAGCGCGTATCACATTTGATATCTTTCCTCGGACCGTTACCATGACAATCTGTCCGCAGCGCGTATCACACAAAACCAAGTCGGACATGAACATACTTAACAGATATCTCAAAAGCATTGGTAAAGACACAGACGAGAGTCATATAATAAAACATTTATTAACCTTGCTTGCTTGCTCTGTACAGAGAAATATCAGTCCTTGGCCTTTTTGCACAGTACATTAAGGCCGCGGTCTGATATTTATCCATACAGACCTCGCGCTCGGTTAATAAGCCTATTCTTTAGGTCCATTTTAGTAGTTGTGGTAATAGTAGTCTTTAATGTGTGTTGTGCATGTTTGTGATGATTGCTTTGTCCTTGTACCTGAATTCTCAGCAGTAGCCTTCTGTTGGCCTGCTCCAGCTTCTTCTGCCTGCCCTCCAGCTCTCTGGCGTGCTGCTGCTCCTTCTGCAGCCACCGGATATACTCCACCGAGGCCTTGAGGATCGTGCCTTTGTTCCAGCGCATGTCTCTGTGAAAAAAGACAAGTGTTGAAGATAACCTTAACCTCTGCACTTTCTGTGTCTGCAAAAAAAAAATCCTCTTTTGGCGCGACAGGTAAAACTTTGAACACAGAGCTTTTCCCATGCCTTTTTAATGATATGAATAGGCAATGGCGATTTACACGGGGCAATTATTCACTCTTTGGACATTACATGGAGGGGACAGAATGGGAATTTTAATAGAATAGTTAATGCTCAGAGTCCATTCTCCTGCCTCCTTGTTCGGTAAAATTAATCCGTGAGTAAAAATAGGTGAAGGGAAAATGAGCTCAAGTTGGAAGACCGGAGAAGAGAAAGGAGCGCTGGACTTAAGGTGCAAGAGTGCAAGTCATTATTTTGTAGATATTATTGCTTTGACTTTAAAATGGAAAAGGGTAGCTTGGTAAAAATGTCCTTTTCCGCACGAGTGAGACGTTGCCATGCCATGCGCTAATAATCTCTTTTATCCAATGTTAATGACACGATGACGAAGCTAAAAACCCCATTTAAAATTTCAAGCGAAGTTCAATGGTAAAAAGATGGCAGTCTGATTTCTATTCAGTGTCGTGTTCGGTCTTTTCTGCGTTTCCGATTGTGCGGTGAACTTTGATTCAAACGGTGCGAGTGTGTGGGGGGGTTTCTTCGTGTTTGACCCAGCTGGACCACCATTCACGCCGCAGGGGAGAGCACATACGTACGGCTCCTGGTGCGCAGGCAACAATGGGGGTTCAAGAGCACCCTTGAAATATCACTGAAATGTGCTGGAGAGCTCATTTAAATTCAGTGAACAGGTTTTAGACTGTCTTTGTGCTTTGAATGTAACACACTGCTCTTTTTGCATAAGGTCAAATATGTATGTATATGTGTATATGAAGAAAGTATTGTAGTAGAATTGTCAAAAGCCTCAAAACTGATCAGAAAGAAAAGGCAAGAGTGCAGGATTCTTTGAGTGATTGTGGTCTATTTCAGAACTAACATGGGACATTGTAGTATACGAAGGGATACGCTGTCATGTTTTGCTGGTTGTGGTTAAAATGTTGAATATGGTGAACTTTATTTTCACTGTTACGTCAGCAAAAATTATTTGAACTGAACTATATGAGAACCAAAAACTGTATAAATTGAGCGTTGTGGAAACTCACGGGTCGTTGGACTTTGGTATAAGTGTTCCCAGCTCTTTGATGCGGTAGTTGATATTGTATCGCCTTCTTCTTTCGACTGTCAAAAAAGAAAATATTTTTAATTGCCTGTTTATAAATTCTTTGATTGAAATTGTAAATGGAAATAGGCTTACTCAAATTATGATTGTCTTTCTTCTGCCTCTCTTTAGCCATCACCCTCGTGTCAAGCTCTGTTGGAATAAATCGAGCAAAGACGGAAATCCATTAGCCGCGCACATTAATTTAGAAACAAAAAAACAGACAAAAAACACCACCACAAAAAGTCCAGTCAGCCGACCAAGCGGTTATTTTGGGGGAACGCCGGCCAAAGGGCAGACAGCTTGACCTTCGTTTTCACATAAACACTCTGAAAGAGTCTAGTCATTGTAGGAAATAGAAACTTCTTTAAAAAAAAATAGAATTGCTTAGTTATTAAGACAGTTTAGCCAATTCGCTCTTGTGCATGAGCAAGACTTAAAAATGTGTCCGTGTTTGTATTCACATTCTTTCAAATTATATGATAGGGGACCTTAGATTGGATTTGCCAATTTGCCTGTGTTGATTCAATCAGGGCAATTTTGAGTGTGTGTAACAGGCCATTGTCCTTCGCACCCCACACTCCAATGAAACAGACACCAATTTCTTTATTTTCCCCTTGAGAGTGAAGAGTTTCTGAGGCTTGCTTTCTATTTCCTAAATCAATTAGGACTCCGATTGCTATGTGAGATTAAATAGTTGGACCAGCTAAGAATAGGTTTGGTAGAGTTGTGTTAGACATGTACCATTTTAAACACTGCTAAAGCTTCTAAAATATAAGTCAGTAAGTTTTATAGTTTTTCTGAATTACAGGATTTGCCATTGGGACATGAAAATATCCAAAATAAATGTTGTTTTATAGACAAAGATTGATAATACAAAAACAAAAACAAAACTATTTTACTTGTCCCATTGGAAAATATTGCCTCTAAATCGAGTAGAATTTATCATAATTCAAGCAATTATTGTTTTCTGTGAATAAGCATAAAGCAAAAGTTAGATTCAGTTTTAACATGCAGCCATATACAGTACAATCCCACATGTGTAGGACACTATTTCAAAAAGGTAACAGTAACATTATTAACCATCAATGCATTGAGTTTGATAAATGTTTTATTTGTATTTATTTTTTTCAGAAATTTTATGTGAAACTGTCAAAGTGGAGAGCTGAAACTGTAGATAGGACTACAAAAAACATAAATTAGTAGAAGTAAAATATGTAATGGGGGGAATAGGGGGAATGAGGAAATCATGTTGCTGTATAGAAATTATCTGGCATTCCTGTGCTGGCACTTAAATGGTTCAGTTCAAGCGGTTTTCATTTAAATTGCATTAAGTGAAATGTTAGAAGTAATAACTATGTGTGTGATTTTAAGCTTAAAGGGTCTAAAAAAACAGCTATGGCATATGTTCGTACCTGTGTATTCCCTTTTAACAGTGACTTTTGGGGGGTTAGAAGTAGGACTCATTCCACCACTAGAGGCGTTCATACCTTGTTCACCCCCATAGAGGTCCAGCATGCTGCCACTGAGGGAAACCTGAAAGAAGAAACAAGAAAAAACTCAGTAATTTCTTCAACACAAAATAATGCTTGTTTTGAGCTGCTGTGAGGCTATTCTCACTGCGACGTCTGTCCCAGGATTCTTGCTTTGGTCTTCCCCGCAGGGAGCTGCCCAAACCTCATCAAGACCACTTATTTAACATAACAAATAAGTTGGCTCTGGCCGAACTGCCTTTGAGTTCATGTAAGCCTGACCTTCAACCTTGCTCTGAGCATCAATGCAAGGCTACACACAGCTGTAAAACCCACTATGTTTGAACCATTCCACTTAAAAGTCTCATCCCAAACAGTGCTAGCCTTTGTGTTGAAAATAGTACGCTGTCGCATTAAAAGGCGAGCTGGGTCAACAGCTCGAGACAGAGGCAAAACTGTTTTCCCTTCTTGTCTGGGAAAGCATGCATAGACTTTGGGTGATAATGATGCCTTTTCACAGAGGGAGAGAGCGGAATGTCAAGATATGGCGTGCTGACATGCGTGTGTGTCTAATTCACATTTGTGTATTTATGGGAACACGCTACGAGACGGGGACCGCAGATTCCAAAGATGCGCACCGCAGCGGCCGATTTGGACAGCGACATGTGTGTCAAATCGAGCAAGGGCAGGCGATAACGCGGCGTGTCAAGGCCAAAAGACAGAGCAAGAAACAAAACAAGGGGGTGAAAAAAGTGCAGACATATTCAAATATTTGCATTTGCTGTGGTTTGCAAGCATTTGTCTCATTATCTCGGCAAGATGGAGGAGGGCGGGATACAGCAGGGGCTTATCAAAGTGAAAGATTGCAACAGTCCGCCATTCCACTTCAATTGTAATCACATCCTCCTACATCTGCTTTCCTGGATGTGTTGACACCGCAAAATGACAAGATGCATAGTCGTACGGTATGACTAATTGGATTCAATTGATATTCTCGGGTTGATTTCTGAGCAAGCCCCATAGGGAGTTGTACTTGTCTCAATCTGATGACGCACTATCTCTTGTCTTGTCTATTCTGTTATTTGCAAACTTGTGAATTTCTCCCTCACCCACCCGCCTACTCATTCCTTCGTCTGTCACCGTATTGTTTTTTGTCGTCAGTGCCTCACAATCACTCGCTGTTTTGGGTTGAGTTGTCGCTACATTCCTTCCAATTTAGTTTTTTGCGTCCATGTCCCCGCATACCTGCCTCGCCGCGCTATCGTCACAGTCACCTAGCGCGCTTCTTGCTTTAACTTAATCTTCATTGTTGGTCTTGGCGGGTAATGTGAGAAATGTGGCTAAGCCTGGCTGAACTTTGACTTTTCCCGATTTCTAAGAAGAATCCCTCGGTTCCCAAGCCAGTCAAGCTGCACATTTGAATTTACATAGACTTAAGACATCAGCTTGACAATGATTGATACTTACATTACTTTGCATGATGTTGGGCTCCATGCAATCCAAGCCCCCATCATTGAACCCGGATTCAAGACTAATTAGGTCATCAATAACTTCATCCATTGGAAACTAAAAGAAAACAGTAATTTTAAGCATATTTACAGACAGTCTGATACCAATACTGCCCACGTTTGACTTTGAGAACTCATAGATTCAAAATATAGACCAGAAAAGGGGGGAGGGACCCGAGTAGACTAATCCATTAACGGGTTTTCATGCATTTGTTATCATTGAAAACTCTCATCTCATCTTCAGACGGTATGAAGTTATTGATGAGCAAAGCAGACAGAGATAGAAATCGTTGCTTTGTTTTAATGATTAGTTAGCACCATTTGCGTTTGTTGACATAACAAAAACTGATCTTGTTTGCATCGAGTTAAGCCGTTTTAAAAAAGCAATCGTCATGATTTTACACAAAGAACAAAGCGATAGAACAAAAATTAAGCTGCACATTGACTAAATTGTAGACTTGAATATTGCAGAAATAGCACCCACCTCACTGTCTGCGTTGGCCATAGTCAGCAGGGTTACTGGGCTATTGGGGTTACTGCCATCACTGACAGACCCCATATGTTGTCTCATATTGGGTACAGTTGCGATGGGCTGGCCGGGGGTGTGTGGGTGAGGCATGGAACTGTGTCCTGGGGCGGCTGACGAGGCCAATTTGGAGCCAAGAGTCAAGTACTGCTTGACCTGCTGAGACTGGCTCTGGTGCAGGTGGAACTTGGAGCTCTCCAGGTGGCTTTGAACCTGCAAAAGATGAGTTTGGATAGATGTTGGTTGAATGCAGAGTTTTAGGGCGAGCATGTCATTGCAATTTATCGACATTACTCACAAGCATAACCAAACGCAACCACGTCATAGAATACTAAGTCTTTTCCATAATGCTGTGTTGTAACCCGTATGAAAACAAGATTACGATATGACTTCAAAAATGGTTTGAAAAGACGTTTCTGAAATTTCTGAAATTAACTAAAAATATTCCCAACACAAATGCCAAAGCTCTCAAGCTCCTCAACAACACGGTCAATGAAGATACAACTGGAAGTCCAACAGATCAATCCTAAAAACATATCACATCTTCAAAAAGCATTCTTACATTAGAAGCTCTGGTTGCATCCCTCATGGTGTAGTAACTGCAGTCAGTTAAGTGTGGCATTCTCAGGAAAGAGGTAGCCTTTGCGTTATTTTGTTTAGGATGTAGCAGCAACAAAGTTTAGGATCCTAGTTTGTTATGCTGCAACTCCTGTGTCCTGATCAAGGCTCTGGCTGTGGCAGGGTCCCGCCAGTGCTTTATAAAGGCCGGCTAAGTGAGCTAATTAGTTGTGGGTAAGCCTTTATGTTGGGTTACTTCAAACACTAAACTGTCAGATCAGCCCTGGTTTGATCACTGCAGGACATCTGCCTTTAGCCACTATCACTAATTCTTCTGGTCCGCCCTTTTCTCCAGTACTAACCAATCAGGGCCCAACTCCCAGTGTCCTCAGCGGCCTGCTCCAGGGCTAATGTGACAGCACAATTGACCCTTGTTCTTCACTGGGTGTTTTAAATAACTTTTCTAATGCCATTTTAACCATGCAGGCCCTTTTATTCATTGACTGTTGATAATGGAGATAGTCTATACAAAAACGTCTCGTAAATTCATTTGGAGCTTTTGCAATGGTGCGTGAGCTATTTTGGGATAGGAACATTTTACCTAAAATGTCTTATTGGATTTACAGTTTGGAGCGCACTGTAAGTTACTTATTAGTTTATGGTCGCTGAACTATTTTGAGGGTTTTAAAAAGTGCAAACAGTAGCTATCTTGTTACTGTCACATTATTAGGTTAGTCTCTTCCATTTTTAGCAACTCAGGAGTATAAATAACTGGTTGATAACGGTTATTGTGCTCATTTGACCATCTGGACAAATACATTGTTTATTTACATACCGTGTTGGGGAGTAACCGAATTCATGTACCGCTGATACGTATTCAGAATACTCTTTTTGAGAACCGGTATTCTGTTACAGTTACTACTTTAACATCTAGTATTTATAATACAGTTACTTTCTGAAAAACATGGGAATCAACACTTGCTCATATTACCTCTTTAAGGTAAAAAATAACAATAACAAAGAAAACGTGTCCACGCAATACGCATCGAATAAGTCCAAGTGTGTGTGTATGTATGTGGGTGAACGCACATGTATGTCTGTGTGTTATTAGCAAAGTTATATATCTAGAGGTTATATTTGTCGTTGATGAGGAAGTCGTAAAAGGCAATTATCCAATAAATGTATTCTAAGTATTTGGAATACAGTTACAGTTATTATTATTATTATTATTAGTATTATTATTGAATACTATACAAAATACATTTGAGGTTCTGTATTCAGTATTCTAGATTGGAATACATTTTCAAAGTATTTTATCCAACACTGGCGATAGACAAGACCAAGAAATAAAGTGTAACAGTAACGGCAAAATTGGGTAGAAAAGGTAAAAGGCTTTAATTCAATTCAACTTTATTCCGGACTCATAGTCCAATAAAATAAAATAAAAATAAAGGACAAGACAAACAATTAAAATGGCATTTTAAAAAGACAATCATGCCAATGTCTCCACAAGTCAGATTGATACCGTGTCGCACTCCATTTTATATTCGTGAGGGACACTATTATTTCATTTTCAGACGTGTTCAATCGACACATAAAGCTGTACATCAAAGTTCGTAGCACGGCCTGTAAAGTGTTCACTCTGGCATTAACAAACATTTCTGTCGCACTTGACCATCTCGGCTTTTTCAAAAGCACACGCAAAGCATCATTATAGGCCACCTGGAGCTTACGCATGCTGGCTTTAAGCTGCACTGTGTAACTTTTATTATGGGGCCTGCTCCCCTGCTACTATTATTGTGTTCCTCAATTTTATAACAAAGACTTTTACACAGATGTTTTTGCTGCTCAAAAACTTTAATTCTCACATTGGGTCAGCTCTCTTCTCAGCAGATATGACTTGTAACTCAACCAAGTTATTTCGCTCCAATATCTCCAATGTAGATAGGGACCGCTTAAAGCCAAATTGCAAATCAACAAAGTTTAGTAATGGTAAATTCTTCAACCTTTCTTAATCCTTACCATTTTAGTTATACCCAAAACCTTTTTCACATTTCTAAATTCATTTTCATCTTTGCACCTATGTTACTGTGGAAACTTTCAGACTTTTTCCTCCTTGCATTCCCCTTGGTCAGCTCCCGGCCTGATTCACCATTCAGCCACCTATACCCACATTACAATACTCTGCTTGTCAACGATGACCGGGGGCTCTTTATTTGGGTTATCCATCCCAAACAAGATGGCACTTGTTGGCCAAATCGACATATTTCTGTCACTACTGCGACGGGAGAAGAGATGCCATGTTGGGGCTGCACGCACCACTACACACTTTATTTGTATGACGGGAGGATTGTCCTGGTTTCACTTTGCCTCTCTTGCTACTGTAAATGCCGGAGACACGCTTGTTATCTACTTAAGGGGATCTGATTAGATTTCAGAGGTAATGGCGCTTCACTCATTCCGGCCAACTGCGACAATGGTTGGTCTATGTAGGCACGAAGCGGGCAAGTTTATGAATTATCAATGCCTGCCATACAAATACAGGCCGATATGCGGATACAAATAAAAGTGACACAAGAGTTGGGCTTAAGTATTTTTCTGACGCTCAAAGCTTCAGGAGAAAGTTGGTTCAACGTCCAAATGGACAAATACAAGGTTATTCATGCTACTAAGTGATATGATTATTGTGGTTAGCCATGCCTCACACTTTAGTAGTATAATGATTGTTTAGGGTTTTCACTGGTAAATCTTACTTTCAACTAATGTAATGCTGAGCATAGACTAGAGTTGGACTTGAAATTAGACTGTTTAAAGAGGAACAAGGATATAATATATTTAGATTCAAAAAAGGGAAATGAGATAATCAAAAGCATGAATTTGGAACCTGTCTTTCGTTTTACTTGGATTTGAATGGGCCATTACAGATGCTTTTGTAACCAAGTAATCAATGCAGAATTGTAGATCACCCCATAATGAATATGTATGGTTTATTTGAGCAGAACAACTGTCTCCATTGATTGCATTGATTTAGTCCTTCCTGTAGTTGAAATGACCATTTCCCTAATCTTATTATCTCTATTAGAAATAAGTAACCCAACAAAAAACCCCACAACCTCCCACACAGCCATCTATGGCAGTCCTATGTCTCACAAAACAGTCAGTTCAACAGGAGTGTCTCGTTCTAATTTGACAGGATTATCATGAGATCATTCACACTCATTTTCATTACAGTGAAACGACAGAAACTAGAGAAAAATGCACATTTAAAATAATACATTATTTTTTTAGATTTTCAGAAATACCCTCATTCAGCTAAGCAGCGTTAATCCCAAACTGTCTAATAATGTTGCTTTTATGGGTAAAGTTAACCTTTTATGTGTAATAAGCCATGCTATTATTTGTCTTGTGTATACTAAAAAAACTTTCTATGCTTGGAACTTGTTACAGATATCTAGTCAATGAAGTCCAAGACCCCATATACTTCTTCCCATGTAGGCTTACAGTACTGGGCTAATACTGGAATATATATATATATTTTTAATAGGTTCAAATTAAACTAAATTAAACTAGACTTATTAAACAAAAACATCAACACCACCATACTACATAGTCAAAATTTCAATAAACGGCAATATATTTTACCTCAATGGAGAGCCCCTGCGTATAGTTCCCTCATGATGTGTGTCACTGTTACAAGCTGCAGGTGTCTCTCCCAAGTGAAAAACTATTGCCTAAGTCGGTTTCAGTCTTGCTCAAGTTCTCCTTTCACTTCAGAAAAACTGCATATACTTATGAAACGACCAGCATGGGGGGGACACAAAAGGCATTACATAATGAACCCGGGACAAAACCCAGACATTTCTGCAAATCACACAAGCAGTGCTGTGAACCAACTAACTTCAAATATGTCTTTCCCAATCTTGGAAATCTCAACTATGATAAGATGAAAGGGGAACAAAAAGCCTTCTCAGAAAGGCTAACTATTTTTGCTGAGGCTGCTAACCAGTACTTTAACCACACAGCCCAAAGATTGTGAAATATGACGGCCAGATAACATTTACTAACCAAACTCAACTTTTGCATTTGCACGCTGGCTATGCACAAATCACTGCCCATGAAACCATGCATTTCATGAAATAAACCAATTGATTCAAGCCTGAAGATCCAAACCCGGACACTGATTCACAGAAGATACAGTATTTATCCTGCATGCAAAGTTTCCTTATAACTTACCTGCATCATGGAGCAGGACCACGGTCACGGTGATGGTATTAACCACATATTTAGTCATGCATGACTTCAAAACAAAATGAAAATGGATCCATTAGCAGACAGAAGAGACAATTCTTCTATATCTTCTCTGAGATTTGCCAAAAATGAGAAAATACAAAGAAGGAAAGCGCTTCACGTGAGCTTCATTTTTACCTGAGTTTTCTGTCAGACAAAAGCAGAAATGCAGCTGACAGTTGGAGCGGAGGATATGAGACATTTTAGAGGGATAAGTTGACAGACAGTAAGTTCCTGATTGTGGAATACCACACTTTTCCTTCCTGTAAAAACCCTGCTTGAATCAGCACATTGGATACACCCAGGCCATCTTTACAATGTTTCTATCTTGTCCTTACTAAAGTCAAACTACAACAAGAAAAGGACGTTACAAAAAAGGGAATTTCATTTATTAAATCAAAGTGATTTTAATGATTGATGGTAGAAAAAAAGTGTTATTTAAACTATTGGAAATAAGTGAAAACAATGCTTTCAGACTCGCACTCAGATAAGGTCCGCCTCCTGTTGGAAAGAGAAATAATGCTCACAACAACAATTTTAAAAGCTTTGACTCTCAGTCTTGAAAAGGCACTTTATACATTCCAAAAATACTAGGACTGGTGGGCATGAAAAGGCCATTGCTTTGTAAATCCATACTGTTGGTGCGGTGCTGTCAAAGAATATGGAATATGCATTTAACACCCTCCCTCTCAATGTCTTAAGCATCATCCTGTTCAGAATTGGTTGGGCAGATTTTTCTGATTTCCCATGTGAAACATTGCCCAATCAATCAGTTGG